ACAAACCATAAATTGGTCAAAATGGAAATTGAACTCTATCTTGAAGGTCAATTGAGGAACTATAAGTACAATATTTTGAAAGAATATCCATATTTTTTTTTCAAAGATATTTTCATAATCTTAATATTGGCTTAAAATACCATTTGAAGTCTTTTTATTATTAGAAATATATGTGATATAAATAATCTAAGATAATCTTTGTTTGTAGTATACAAGATAACTCTTGTAACTACAAATATATGTTTGATTATATTAGACTTATGACTTTTTACTTAATTAATAACACTCTCAATTATACTCTTTGAAAAATAAAGACTACAAGAAATTCAATTTATTTGAAGATTATACTTTTTAGCTATGATAAATTTAAAACAACTAGATTAGAGGTGATTTAATGATATTAAATATTATAAAACTATTATGACTACTAATTGCTATTTTTATAAAAAATATTTTATGAATAATATTTTTTAAAAAAAACAAACAACCATCTTTGATTTTTATATGAACAAGTTTAATTTTCTTTATTAATAATATGTTATATCTTTTAATAAAATTTTCATACAAGGATAAAATTAAGGATCTTAAATCTAATAAAGTAAATTAAGGCTCTTTATAATAATTAGGTTATAAATTAACATCTATTGTAAAACAAAGAGACAATTTTGAAGAGAGAATAGGAACTTTATTAGGTATTGTATAAGATTCCAAATGCATAGTTCCTATTGTAGTTAGGCAAACTTATTTTTCAACATATTATCTTCTTTGATAGCCATACTCTTCATTTTGTAGTTGCGTCACTTTTTTAGGCGATATTGAGTACTATATTTAAGTTCTCTATAATATAAGCATATTCTCTTTTGATAATAACAGGTCTTTTTTTGCTCAATAAGAAGTTTGAAACATATTACATCAATATGCATATCTTCTACTTTTGAATGTATGTGTTGAGAAGACATTCAGTATTGCTATTGAATTATAATAATATTAAGACCGCTTTATACAACTATCAAATTGAAATTCAAAAAAAAAGTTGTTATACTTTACATCAAAATCAATTGCTTAACTCAATTTTTGAAGATTAGGTAGGTTGAACATCAATTTCTTTATTTTATATTATAATCTATAAAAAAATTGGTTAACAAATGCAGCATCATCTTACTTAATATTAATTGCAAGTTATCAAAATTATAGAATATATAATATAATAAATCAATTTTTTTGACGTAAAATATAAATTTTATTAATCATAATATAAATTACATTATATTTTCTATATATAGATCAAAATTCTACCAAAAAAGCATCAAAATTATTTGATATTGGATTATATTTTTCAAATAAAGATAAAAATTATAATAATATAAAATCTAAAAATAAAGTTTTAATAAACTTAACTTATGATCCTAGAGTTAGATAGCTTTAAGATTGAAGTTCAATCACCAGTTATACTTGATTGATGAATCTTTGAAATTTTAATATTGTGCCATCAAATTTTTTGATCAAGATAATTTTTTATTCTTTAATTCTTAAACAATGTTCCACTTTAGAAGAAATAACATGATTTGGTATAGATGTTGAAGTAACTCCAATCATCTCTGTATCTTCACTTCTTGGCAATCTTGTTGGTCCTTGTAGTAGCAAATTAAATTGATATATATCAAACATTAATTCTTTCAAGTGCTCTTGTATTTGTATCATTTCACTCTTTATTTTAATAAGCTTTGCTATGATTATATAATAAAAAAAATGTCTAATATCTCTCAAGATAAATAGAAAAAAAGATTGAAGAAAAAAAATCTAAAAATAATATTAATTTAGAAGAAAATAATCCGTAACTTTTAATATACTTATGTCTTATCAAGAAAAAAGAGTAATCTTTTTTTAATCAAGAAAAGACAAAGATTTGAAATTGTAAGTATATTTTTGTCAATTTTTCAAGGATAAGAACTCATAGAAGATATATAAACAAGTGAAATAAGTATCAAAGAAAGATAACAATATGATAATAAAAAAAATATGTATATTCAAAAAAAATTAGAATGGCTACTGTCAAAGACTAGGAATCTAAAGATTTTTAAAGCTAGATTAGAAATAAGGAAGGAATTGACAAGAATAAGAAAGGCTTTACTATTGCTTCTATATATACTATGTAATTAAAAGCTATATGACAACATTCTATAGGACCTCCAATACATGTCCAATTTGCAAGACATATGTTTTAACTTGCAAGGCAAGTTTTTAATACATATGCTACATAATTAGCTTGTATCACAAACTATCAATACATACAACATGTAGATAACTTGTTGACCAAATATTCAACCTACCAATCACATTTAAATATGTATAAAAATAAATCTATATTTATGAAGCTTATAAGAAGCTTATGTATAAGATATTATAAAATTTATCTACTTCTATCTCTTCATATTATTTAAGTAACTATTGACATAAATATATATATCCATAATAGGTAATATTCTTTGCAAAAGTTAGAAGAAGATTAAAATAAAGAATTATAAAGGAGCAATTAAGCAATATGGAAAAGAACTAAAATAAAATATCTACTCAAATAGTCTTTTAAGCAAGTAATTGGAATATTTTATAATACAAGTTCAATCATTAGAGGCTATTGCGACTATAATCTATCGCCATTTGTGAGCCGCACAGTGCATCTTAATTAGTAGATTGATTAAAAGTATAGTTTTAAGTTATTTTATTATATAAATATTAAGATTAAAGATTTTTTTGATTATTTAATAATTTAATAGAATTTAGAAATATTTATAAGTTATAAAAGTCTTATTGAAAGAAAAATCATAAAAATCATAAAAATCTTAGTAAGTCTTGGAAGCAATTGTCTTTGTTATTTTAATATTTTTACTTATTTTTAAGTATTAAAGATTATTTATTGAGACCAATATCTTCATTGATCTCTTATCTATATTTATTACTTATAAAAATCCTATCAATGATTAGTTAGTAGTTAAAAGAAGCATGAAAAAAACTTCATGTCTTTTTAATTAATTATATAAAAAATAGGATTTTTAGTAGATATAAATTGATTTTATTATTATAAAATTTTTAAAAGATATTAAAATATAGCCTTAAATAGGTATTATTATTATAAAAGTATTACATAATTTTTTAAATTTTATTTAAAATTTTTTAGGAATTTTTATATAAAATTTTAAGACCTTGGTAAAAATTAAATTTTACCACCTTGGGAGCCATTATGAAGAAATGAAGCAAGATTTGAAGGCCATGTAAGGTTCTTAGACTAGTTGCATATTTTTAAACACCATGGAAAAATAAAAAATATAAAAAAAAGAATTTTACTATTAGAAAATAGGAGGGCTAGCAGCTACTCTAATCCTTATAGGAATGAAGGTATATAAGTTCTATATAGATTATAGCACCTTCGATATAGGTAAGAAGATAAGACTAAGGCCTTGTGTCCTCTCTGAACAAGCCATATACACTACTTGTGATCTTTTAAAGCAGGTTATTCTTGAGGTAAAAATTATTCACTTAACTTTTCTATTATTTATCTTCTATCTTTAATCTATCATAACTTAATCATAATAACTTCAATTTAAATATTTTTTATATCATTGAAAAGATTAAAAGATTATCTATACATATATATATATATATATATATATATATATATATATATATATTTGATGAAAATCTAATAAACAGATTATAACTAATTTTGTAGTATATAATTGCTTGATTATACTTGTTCACTTGTTTTGTATTGTTCTTGTTTTCTTCTTGTTCTTGCTACTTCTACTTCACACCACCAATTACAAGCAATTCTTAATTGAAACCATCTTGTAATTTGAGTAGAGGGAGAAATTTACCTTCATACTAATAGCATCAATTCTTTGACTTGATAATAATAATGTCCAATCTTACATTATTTATATTAATCTTAGTTTTGTCATGTTTGCTTTGTATCCATTATCCATAAATAGTGGATGGAATTGAACCAATATTGGTATTAAAACTTCTTTATATTTATATGCAATGATGAATTAAAATTTCTAATATATCAATTAGGTTTTTATATATAATTATTATGTGAAGAAAAAATATTATTAAATTTTTTTTTGGATAATAATTAAATATATATATAAAATATTGTAATATATATCAATTTATTTTTAATTTTTTGAAAATATATTTTTAAAATTATTATCAATTTATATTTAAAATAAGAAAATCATAGACTATAAATTAAGTGGTTATTTATTTTTTAGATTATAATTTTTAATAATAGTTGCAAAAATAAATAAATAATCATTTTTATTTATAATGTAACAAATAGTTTATCTTTTATCTTTGTGACTTTGATTCTTGGCCCTTGACATTTATATCCAAAATGATGCTTTAAATATCTGATAATGACATAATAAAAACATATGTAAATATACATAATTCTCATCATTGGATATTCAATTTTGAATCAGAATTGTATTATACAATATAATTTTTTTTTCTCTTTTTCACAACATTTTTTTTCCAAAAGATTAAACAAAATACATTCCCATTTAACAATTAGCAAGAATCATCAAAGATTTAGCTTGGTATTGGTTCCATGTTGATGAAAGCAGTCTTGATTGTTTATTGAATCTAAAAAAATAAATTTAAATACTTCAACATAAATTACAAACATACACACACTCACATGTTACTCACGTTTAATTAACAACAGCAACAATACTATTGTTAGAATTTTCAGAAACATCCCCTTTAATCTGTAAATATTCTAAGGATCTTCATACACTTAGACCAGTACAACAAATAATTTCCTCACTTTCAAACCAGGAATGAATTTCTCTTGTTGTATAGATATGGTAGCCAAGGCGGATTATAAGATGGGGGATGCAAATAACAATAAAAATAAAGAGGAAGGATGAAAGCAAGTAGGCCACCCAGTGCCATACATGGGTGGTCAAATGTGGAAGCCCCGTCATCGCGTGGACAGGCCTGGGCGGGTGAGAGGAGGAGGAGGGGCTCTCTGAGGGGCTCTCTGCGGCACAACAACGTGGCTGACCGCGCTTTGGCTGGCTGGCTATGGAGTGATCTCACTCCTCTACTGCTCCACGCAGTCAGTCAGTCCCTTCCTTGCTTGCTTGCTTCGCCCTAACCCACCACCTCCTCGTCACACCGCATGCCACTACCATGCCTCTGTAATTCCCTCCCCCTAACGCGCCCTGCATCGTGTCCATGGCGACACTCGAGGCGGGTAAGACCGCCGAGGACCTTCGCCGCGAGATCGACGAACTCCAGCGCCAACAGCGAGAGGTTCTGCCATTACTCCTTCTGCCTCCACCTTCAAAACCCTAATTCTTAAATCTGTGTGAATTGGCATCTTTGGAGGATTGTTTATCGTATTCGGTTGGTGTCGTTCACCTTCTTCTTCTACTTCCTGCCGTTGGTCTTTTTTTCCGCCCTTTTAACGTGTTTTGTGTTGTTTTTTTTTGTTTTTGTTTGTTTTTTTTTTTTTTTTCCAAAATTTTAATCATGGTTAGGGTTTGCTTCATGATTTTGTTTCAATTGTTTTGGAATCGGATTCGGTGTACACAGCGATGGATAGTGTCGTTGTTTTGCGAAAAAAGTGCGTTACTGCGTAGGTAGCTGTGAAAAAGGCTGGCAATATTTCGAGAAAGGGTAATCGGTTTTCGGTCCTTGTAAGTTTGGTTTGTAGGATTGCATTTGGCTAAGCGACCTTATTCCACACGAAGGAAACCCTCGACCAAATCTGTATTTCATCGGAAGTGGTGTTCTATTTGTAAAAGTATAACCATCTCGCTGAGCGTGTTTCCAAGTGAGACGATCAAACCGCTATTCTGTCATTTGAATACATTCGCTGTTGAAAAGAATTTGTAAGAGCACAACTTCCGACATGAGGAAGTCTTTGAGATTGTAGTGCTGGATCAATTTTGCAGCTGTAGGAGTTTGTCCAATCTATTGCTACCGTCGGATCTTGGTATAACCGCTCTCGGTCCTGCAATCTCCACGTGCAGAGTTCTTAAGCTGCTAGCGAGGTTCGTGCAGTAATGATCGCTTTAGTGTAGAATGTTGTAACCATACCTACTTTGAAACAGCGGTTCTTAAGAGAATCGGTAAATTACTACTTAAACAATAACGATTGAACCTCACAAACTAAGGTCGTTACACGAAACAGTTGTACAAGGGTAGCAAATTCATCTGTTGCAGTCCATCCGAGCATTGCTTTCCTAAATTGAGTATTGATTCGCTTATTCCCTTTTGTCAAGGACTTTTATTTATTGTATCTGTTATGATCTTGTGGATGGATAACAGATTAATGAGCGACTACGAGATCCCAGAGGGCTACGGAAAAATGGTCCTCAAGGCGGCACAGCGAGAAACATTGATGCTAACGGCCCACACCTGCGCAATAATGCCTCGCGAGGGGTCATCAGGCGGGTAAGGAGAGCTCATCGCGGTGTCTGGCTGTTCAGGAGCGCCACGTATATCTTTTAAATTACCTTAACGATGTTTTTGTTCGGTCGAGGCAATGACTTGTCTCTTTGGGATCTTATAGGTGCATAACAGATTTACGCGATGTTTCTGAACTTTGTTGTTTTCATGAGGCTTTCCCTTTCTTTCCATATCATAGAGGTGCTGATATAGTGATGTGATTTCAGGTGGAAGGCTTTGGTGGGGAAGACCAACGTCCCAGAAAGAGAAGACTACTGTCGGCTGTGGTGAAGGTTTGTCATTTGCCGAATCTCTGCACTGAAGTTTTTTCACCCGGCATTCATGCATTCAATGTTATAGAGATGTGTTTTTTTGCTAGACATGGTACTTTGTACTTGTATGTTGTTTTGTTTTGTTTTTTTATTTTTATTTTATTTTCTCTCTTGAGGATGATGTCTTGAATATTTATGATCTGGTGATTGTGTCTGGTTTGCACAGGTTACGGAAGAGGTGGAGTCTACTGAAAATGAGAAGGAAAAAGAAGGAAATGAAGAGGTTCATCCTGATAAAGATGATGCAGATGAAGAAAATGATGTCGCTGATCGGCGGCCAACGCTCCAACGCAATTACAACGCAGACGATTCCAATTCACTTCCATCAACCGATTCACAGCGAAGGGGGCGCTCCGACTCAAACACGCGCACTCCTAGTGCAGGCGGACATCGTTCAGGGGGACCAGGAGGTCCCGGAGGGCCAAGAAGGTTACCTAGAGAGAGGGGCTTCCTTGTTCGTGTCAGCAATCCAGTTGGCCAACATGTGCGTGTACACACGCTCACAAATTGATTAATCACTTGCAATATCTCTTGCAATGTCCTTTTCAAGCTTGTTCATTTACTTGGGTGATTTATTTACAGTATAATAATTCATAAAAAATCGTCGGCTTAACCTATGCGGTTACATGATTTCACCATACATCTTTGAAGTTGTCATAAAAACATTTGATTGTTGAATCCAGTTTGAACTACTTGTTTGCTGTGTCGAGATTGTAGCAGATTGAAGATGCACAAGCTGGTGAGCCAGTACCGAGGGTTCTGCCCAAGACAAGTGATCCCAATGTTGCTAAGCGAAACCGACGGATGTTTGGAGCTCTTTTAGGTACTCTGGAGGTATTACTTTCTAATCCTTCATAATTTCATTGGAAATGCTGAAAGCGGCCGTGCGTCTTTAAGTTAATTGTTACGTATTTGTTAATTTGCATTTGAAGCTCTGGCTGATGATGCATTCTCGTCTACTGCATGAGACTTTTGGAAACGTGGCCACATTCAAAATATTCAAATTTCCAAATATCTTCTCCTCATGTTCGCTAGTGGCGGATTTTTTTTTTTTTTTTTTTTTTTTTTTTTTGGTTTGTTGACAGAAATTTAGGCAGGAGGATAAAAAGCTGTCTGGATCCGAATCATTCCAACGTCGATCTGAGCAGTTGAGGAAGGTAAGTTATTGGGCTGTGTGTATATGTATGTATGCGTTTATAAATATAGTTTAATGCTCCCTCAGTAAGTTTGTATTATTTGTTCCTCCATGTGCCTTTTAATCTTCAATCTGAGACAAAGACCTAGTTTCTGATTTTAAGTGCTTAAATGTTCGGTATTGTCCTTGAAAAACTTGATTTGGCAATTTGATCTGTTATGCTACTTCTGATGATACGTTTAATGCTCATTGCACCATCTCTAACTTCTGTATATGCAGGCAGAGCAGAAGGCGCAAGAAGAAAGTGAACGTTTACGTCAGCAAGAGAAAGAAGCTTTGGCAGAGAAACGAAGAGCTGATCTGGTATAGTCCAATCTTTTCCCTCATCTTGGAGAGATTAAACTGGCAGTCTTGCTAGTAATTTGGAAAGGAAACTATTTCGACCTAGTTTATTTTTTCCAAGCTGCAGGATGGTCAGTTGGCTTCCTCAATTGTTTTTGAGTTCTTCGAAACGCTAGAAAGTTTTGTGTTCAGATCTGCTGTGCATTTCTATCTGTAGAAGATTCGACGTTGTTCTTTCGATCGTGGATAGAAGACGTTTTATTGAGCCCTAATCTCTAAGTGGTTCGTTTTTTCTTTTTCCTTTTTTTTTTTTTTTTTTTTTTTGGACGTTACTAACCTATTTTTGTATGTTGTGTGGTAGACTTTACGTGCAAAATTGGCCGCTGAAGCTGAAGTTAAGCAACTAGAACTCCTTTTTCTGCAGTGGGCAGAACATCATACTCGGCTTGCCTCTTTCATCAGGTGAGGCTTTTCATTTCTTTTAGTGATTTTCAAAACATTCCTTTGCACGCCTGCATTAGAGGTGTGAATGTTTTGTAAAATTCACGTTATTATATGTTCGAACTTGGTAGTGTTCTTCATATTGGTGTCTTAACTTGTGATCTTGCTATGAGAGCAGAACAAAAGCGGGGCCCGGAATTTATTATCTACCAGTTAAGTCTTGTGAAAAGACGGACAATCTGCTTCAGGAAGCTCAGCAGGTATTATGGTACTCAGGAGTTGAGTCGTATTGATTTATGTTATTATGTTCTATATGTACTTATTCTCCTGGTGTGTCCTTACAGGTTCTTTTGTCTGTAATCTGTCTTTATAAAATTAGTACGAGTGTAGACGATTATGGTTCCGAGTCATATATTGTAATTATTATGAATTTTACTGTCATTTTCTGCCACTAAATCCAGTATACAAAAGAAAGCAATTGGAAACGTAGGCAACTATATCTTTAGCAGTCAATGTAGTGGTAGTGTCCTCCAAATTATTCAGAGTTTGATTACCTCTCTGTGATGACGCTGTGTGGAGCTGGTTTCCTTCTAATCACATTCTCTGCCCTCAGAGTAGTTCGTTAGTTTCTTGCGTGGTCAGTTGGAATTCTCTTTTAGTTCCCCTAATAACTTTTGGTTTTATTTTACCAATGAATCAGGAACTGGCAGAATGGAAGACCAGATCACGTGAAGAACTGTCTGAGTGTCAGAGGCAGATTTCTGAACTTAACATGGCGAACTTGGATGTTGAGATTGAGAGATGGAAAAATGGACCTCCTGGGCGATCCAAAGTCTCCAGTGACATACTGACTGCTGAGGCAAATACAGTTGGAGATGGTGATGACAAAGTCCTCGAGCAAGCTGGAGAAGGAATCGATGTTGTTGAAGACGAAGATGACGAAACTGGTGCCATGGTTATAGAAGATGAGGAAAGGGTAATATCTGAGGAGGCGGAGACTAACAAATTGATCAGCGTGTAGATGTGAAGCAAGTGAAGGTGAGAAGTCGATGGCGTTTTGCAACTTCAGGGGTATTGTTGCGTGAAGTGTTTAGAAATAGGTGATTTTGCGCCTTGTAATGCGATTATAAATTAGCAACTTATTTCTCCTGGGTTATCTCATGCCCGTGATTGTTGGGTAGGTCAAAGAGCACAACGGCAAGAGTTTTTACTGGCCTTTGGGGTGAGATTAGATGCCCAAGTAGGAACATTTTTCATGCGGTCATAGATTGTGAAAGTTCCATGTAGAGGTCACTTTGCAGTGTTAAACATGTATAGTGGGATAACTTTTGTGAAATCTTAGTGCTCTTGCGGTCCAAGTTGTCAACTTTGGTTATGTATTTATTTCAATAGAAGTTCATCAGTGGCTTTTAGAGGGGCTCCAAGTGTTGATTGTGGACGGAGAAATGGAATGTTCAGGGATAGCACCAAGTTTCTACTTGTGCTATGCTGCTGAAGAAACCTCGGTACGGCGGCGTCATCTGGTTGGAGCACTCTGGAGGTACACTGTTCCGTCTGATTTTCCCCTGATTATGTAAATTATTGATGTCATCGATTTGGACCAGAATGTGTCAGACAGGGCCAGCAGGATTAATGAAGCGTGCGTTCAAGGGGTGCCCTTCATCTTGTGTAGGATTTGTCTTTCCTATCTTCTCACCATCTGAGTGTTATCATACGCCCATGTCCAACATGTTAAGTAGCAGTTCTGAACGTTCTAGGGAGTGAAAGTAGTAACGTTCAGTGGTATAAATATACTCACTTCCTGACGGCGTGGTGTGGTTGTGTTTAATCTCTTCATTGGAGCACCAAGCGCAGCCTACTTGGATGTAGCTGTTGTCTTAAATGAATTTAGTAATCGATGTCTACTTAGTTTGTATTTTAGATGTCCAACTGCTGGGCACCTTCATCTTCGTGGTCGTACTCATTTATGTTGCTTGCAATGTGCAGCCATACTTGCAACCCATCTATTGTTCTATTGTACCAACGATTTACATTCTGATAATAGCACTATCACCGGCTCAGTCTAGCCAAAAAAATTAGCATTCTGTAGACATTTGTATGTTCTCCTTGTGAGAGAAACCTGCCTTGCGATATAATAATTATTTCTCCACTCCACACACTTGCTTTGCCCGCACGGATTACTTACTTGGCATGTCGAATTTGAAACAGTCGCAGTGTCTGCACATCCTTCATCATGGCTCAGAACTGTAATTTCAATTGAGAAATTAACTGCCTGTCGAGTTCGTCCTCAATGCGAACTTTCATTGCCCCTCACCGCCGTTGCGAAATTCCCTCGCTTCACGACACACGAGCGAAGTGCCATCGCAGTACCGACGCCGGCTGCCTCACCAATTCTTCGCCTCAGGCCCCTGCAAATACATGTAGATTTCTCCACCCAAATTCTCGTTTTGCTCGACTTCCAGTCAACCATGTGCGAATTTGAAACATCACGAAAATAGTTACTTTCTATCAATCACAACAACTTGGATTGTGAAGGTGTTCGTTGTCACGTTAACGACAGAATATGTCGTTTCGCCGTGGCGTCCTGCAACGACGGATGTGTTCTGAACCCCGAAATTTGAAATACTCTTTTGAATTCCCCTTTTTCCATGAATTATCCAGCTCTAAAGCTCACAAATCTTGTTTCCGTCTCCTCAAGTGTCGCCGAACTCAGCTGCGGGGACATGTGTGAAGGAATCAGATGATTCAAGGGCCAGTTTTGACATGGCTCCTCCTCTAAGAAAGCAGTGCCACTCTGGCTTTTGTTTATCGTGGCGTGCTACGTAATGTTCCATACCCCTTCTCTTTCTATTTTTGCCCCTTTATTGCACTCAAGGCTCTTCTTCCTTCCTGTTATTTCTATGCAATCTTGTTTGAATTCGCTACCGTCCACCAACTCTGCACAGTAGGCTGAATCTGCTCCAATTGGTGGTCTGTGCTCTCTTCACATCTCCTCTCTCACGCTCTCTCTCTCTCTCGCTCTTTTAGTCTTGCTATTCCCATTCTCACCTTGCTTATATGGTGCTTGGATCTTCAATGCCTGGAGATTAATGAGCATGGAAAAGCTATTAAAACCAATTTTCAAAAACTGAAAATCCGAAATGGGGATTGTGATTATCATGCACTATTGTACAGGCATTGAGTGTGAAGGATCCTGAAGCTTGGCCCACATTAATCTGCCTACCTAGAAAACTTGAGTGTGTTGAGATGGGTTGAAACCAACATGAATTTCACGTTTCCTAGTTTTTACCATGGAGGGGTCAAAGTCGTTGTGTGAAGAGTTGAAGATTGCTAGTGGTGGGACCCGCTCAATGAGATGCATCTGGTGCCTCTGTAGTTTTTGAGGCAATTGTCTTATCATCAACAATGTCAGATTCAAAGGCTGCAAACTGAAGGTGGCCATCTCTCTGAACATCCTCATATGCCATTGAATGGCAGTAGTTATTCTTCACTGGCCATAAATTTCCTTAAATGACTTGGCACGGTAATTCTCTGTAGCATTTTAATGGCTGTTCGTTGCAGTGATGTGGAGAAGTTCCTGTGAACTTTTGTGCTAGCCTTGATTAAGAAACCGCTCTTTCCTTTTAGTGTTACCCTTGGGCATTTTGTTATGTTTATTTTTTATTTTTTATGTTTGAATGTTCGTATCTTTTTTTTAAAAAAACTTGCTCCCTGTATTCTCCATATGGGGAGGTTAACAGGCCTGAACCTTGGGCTGCCACTTAATCAATTTCGATTCTCCACTATGACACGTGTACGCAGTGCCATAGTTTTGACATTGGTATTCCCGTGTAAACAGACAAAGCCCCCAAGTTGCTGATCTTATTAGGCTGGCAAGCCTAGGGGAGTATCCCTCAATAGTGGAGCTATACCCTAATTTTAATTTTAATTTTCTTACTTTTGGGTAGGACCAAGTTCATTGTCTACGTGTTTTAGTGAGAATGGTGGGGACATGAGAAAAGAAAGTCCGAGTATGTGTTTGGAAACAGTCCTGCATGTTCCATTGAGGAAAAAATTCAAACGTTCCCAAGAGTTCAAGAAGACCAATGGAGCCCAAATTGGTGAACCATCCATTCTCCAATGGTTTGAAAACGAAAAGGAGCAGGCTTTGCATCAATCTCTCCTCTTAAAGGTGGGGATCTCTACTATCTTGTAACCAATTCCAGTTGTGGACAACCACAGCCATCTCTACCACCATGAGCACCTTTATCACATTGTGGGCCCTTGCAAGTTAGGGTTTGGTCTCAAGTTCCCTTCGTGTACAAGAATCAAAAACATCAAATCCTTACTCATTTTGCTATATAGTAACTCCCCCACTTTGTTACAAAAGCTTCAAGGACTGAACACTTGGGTAAGATGATTTTGGGGGAGGAGAATCAACCTCAAAGATTATGCTTGTGATTGAATTCAACAAGGGAATTTCAAAGTACTCAGTTTTATTTTATTGTATTTTATTTTTTTTCCTTGTAAGCAGAAGAGACCCCAGTGAAAAAGACTTGCAGTTGAATTCTAAGAAGCCTGTCGCCATTTGAAGAACTCCAGCACTTTGAATTTGACATCATTGATTGAATTGTCCTCTCAACTTACAAATCATCATAATTAAACGTGGCCATCACTCGAAGTGCCATGCCTACTCAACAACATCAAGCGGCAGGGCAGGGGCGAACTCAAAATTCAAATGCTCCCTTGGGGAGGGGGACTATTGAGAACCGCCGGGCGTATGAGATAACCCCATTCATCCAGCCCTCGCCCCGGCGCTCAATAATGGAAGCCTCGCCTGGGGTCCACTCCGAACCCAGCCCCGAATTCAAACTCCTCCCTTAGGACCCGTAATGGTTTTGGGGTCTCCGCCAGGTTTCTCGCCGAGGACAGACATGTGAGGCTCTGGGATCTAGGCTCCCCATGGATCCCAGGCCTGCGCTGCGGAAAACGCTGCTCTTCCTCGCCACTGCTTTCGCCAATTTGAATTTGGGACAGCTTGGCAGCAATGGCTTCGCACACCCAGAGGACAATCGACCTCACTGAAAGTGCGTCATCGTCGTCGTCGCTCAATTGCTCGACTCAGGTTGCAGGAATTGTCAGTCATTGCGGATTGTTAGTGATGAGACCATCGGCCGGGACTACGTGTTGTTGGCCTTACAACCGTTGAGTCGCACGCATGACTACCATTGCGATTCGAGTCTAGTGAAGTGTGCTCGCCTCTCAATTCGGTCCTCTTCGTTTTTTCTTGAGTGTTGTGTTTGGATTTTTGAATTTGGGGATCCGTGGGATTGTGCAAGAGTGTGCAGAGTTTGTGTAGTGGTCTTCGTGATAGTGAGTCGTAGTGTGGCTTGTACGAGTTCGTTTAGCCGCCCGACACTACATGAGTTGTGCTTTGCAGGTGCTCGTGGGACATTTTCTTGTCGGTTGTGAGGTTGGGGTGAAGTGAAGTTAGGCAATTGGGTTTTGTCACTGTTCCATTTTTTTTTGTGTTTGAACTTTGAGTGCGGGTCTGGTTCTTATTATGTCTGTCAATATCAAAAGCAGCACGCGCATGTGCATTCCTTGCTTCCTTCTCTGCTGCCTCGTGTGTCAGAGACTTTGTTTGTCTTCTCTTACTACTCTTTGTGATCGGCAGATGGAGGTTATTTAAGCCAGGAACTAAGTTACGGTTCTATTGGTACATACCTGTTGGAGCTCAGCTTTTTTCTGCCGATTTCGTTCCGTCTCTCTTGGCAGAGCTACTTGGAAGCACTACCTGGAGTGGGTCCGTGTCTTTGCTCCAAACCCTCGGGCTACACTGCACTCCTTGTCGTCTCATCAGTCTCTCACTGTCTCTCTTTATTCGTTCCTGTCTCGCTTTACTTCGTTCCGTTAAGGTTCTTGTCCTCTGTCGCCGTCACATCGCATTGCCATTGTAAAACAAGCAAGCGATAAATAAATATTCTTGCGAGGTTGTCCTGTACATTCTTTCATCACGATATCTGTGCTTCGTTCCGCAATCATTTTGAACGTGCTTCGTTCCACAACCAATTTAATCTTATAGTGGCACTTCATCATTTGAATTGGCTTCCTACCACTCTACATATCGATTATCTCAGACTCTTCCTTACGAGTGCACTTTATAATGTGCTAGGGGCATTTCTGTATTTCTAGCTTGTTGGTTACAGTTGTGTCTATCTATGTGACACTCTTGAATTCACTGCCGTGGCGAGTGAAGGTTGTTTGGGTTTCTTCTCAGGCAGCTGCCAAGATTCCGTTATGAAGTAGTAAAAGTCATATCGCTATGTCTGTTTTAGCTTCCGTACAATTCCTCGTAATAAAGGTGTGAGTTAAATTCTGTTCAGCTTGTCCTCTTGAATCACTGTCAAGCTTTGTCATTGAAATGGCAATGCTGGTGGTGTTTACAAACATGGTGGAGTGATTCGCCCAGCTGCTGCTTGATTATTCTTACCGGCACCGCACAATCTGCTTGATAAGCTACTATACTGTCGGATGGAGATAAGTTGAGTGGCGTAATTGGACAGGGCTTGGTATAGCCAAAAGACAGCTGAAGATATCGAGGAGCCTGGGTATTACTTTTGCCTCGATTGGTTCTTAAAGTACCAATTCACTCGCTTCTCGGATACACATTTCTCCCCACCAGCAATGGACGAATACGAGAAGCTGGAGAAGATCGGGGAGGGTACCTACGGGAAAGTGTACAAAGCGAGGAACAAGAGCACAGGTCGCCTAGTGGCGCTCAAGAAAACCAGGCTTGAAATGGAGGATGAAGGAGTACCATCAACTGCTCTTCGAGAGGTTTCACTCTTGCAGATGCTTTCACATAGCATCTACATTGTCAGGTACCTGAGAGAGCAATTCAGACCCAACATGCGCTTCATCTGAATTATCCTAACAGCAATCAAGTCGCTGCGGACATGCAAGGTGATTGCCATGGTTTTCCACAGTATCGGAGATGACAACGATTCCGCCTAGCTGTGACAACTTTTCTTCTTGAAGCCACACCATCTGAAATGACCTTCGCCGGAGTCCTTACATTATGCCATGTAGCAGCTGAACGATTCTTTTAAGATAACCTACCAGCCGGAATGATATAGAATTACTTTTCTTATTACAGAGAAAGCAGTGCGGGCTACCTCATTTTATTAATTTTTGAATCTAAAATTTGAAAATTAAATCTCTCTGCCCTAAACTTTGGATAATTTTTGCCATGCAGTATCGTCACCTGTTCGAGATTTACGTCCCACTTGCTCTTGCAACGGGTATCATCACGTTCTTGAACGAAATCTGACATTTTCTCTCCGCTTGCAGGTTGTTATCTGTGGAAAGCGTAGATGAGAATGGGAAACCTCAACTGTATTTGGTTTTTGAGTACCTTGACAGTGATCTCAAGAAATTCATCGATTCGTACGGCCGAGGTAGTGGCAATCCTATTCCCGCGAAAACTATTCAGGTACCCTACACTGATCAGGATGAAATCCTCTCATTTTAGCCAGCAAGTGTCGGTTCTTCTCTGCGGGGTTTCAGACTGTTTATATTGTTCCGCTGATGAGGTGTTGATTTTGTTGTGGATAGTCCAATGTAATTGAGCGTAGAACGATTATTGTGTCTCCTCTCTGGAGTGGTTTTTAAAGCAGAGAATTGATTCTGTCTAACTATCTTCTGCCCGTGACGCTCAAAATGGAAGCTTTCCTCAACCAAATTTTTGTTTGTTTAATTTAGAGCTTTATGTATCAACTTCTGAAAGGCGTTGCGCACTGCCATGGTCATGGTGTTATGCATCGGTACTTCCACTAAACTCTTCTAGTTCATCTTATTCACTTCATCTCATACCCTCCTGTTTAATGTTTAATATCTAAGTTGCCATTGTTGGATTCATTATCAGGGATCTGAAGCCACAGAACTTGCTTGTGGACAAAGAAAAGGGTTTGCTTAAAATTGCTGATTTGGGTCTGGGAAGAGCGTTCACTATTCCTTTAAAGAGCTACACTCACGAGGTTTATAACCGTCAACGATTCTTTCCATTGTTGCCCATAACTGTCAACTGAGTGATGTTTACAAATTTTCATAGCACCTGTCAATATCATTTTTTTTTTTTTTTTTTTTTTTTTCTTCTAATATCTGATTCCATCTGTTTTGTCGTCCTGTTGAGCAGATTGTTACTCTCTGGTACCGTGCTCCGGAGGTTTTGCTTGGTTCCAGTCAGTACTCCACATCCGTGGATATGTGGTCTGTGGGGTGCATATTTGGTATGTTCCTGTCGATGGCCCTGTAATTTAAGAAAAATACTGTGTTTCTGATACAGAAGATTGTATCGATTACTTAAGCTCTTGCAATGCTGTTTTATGTTGTGTCTAGCTGAACTATCTCGCAAAGCTCCTCTCTTCCCAGGGGATTCGGAATTACAGCAACTCCTGCATATATTCAGGTGCGCTGTTCTATTTATTTTTGATGACAGCCTGTAATCAACCTTAAGAATTAGTACTACTACTGTTGAAAACTTGTGTCTATTGAATTGAGGTCCCGTCCTGCTCATCAATATCTCAAAACTGAAATCAAAATAATGGCTAATTACTCCTGCGTTTAGTGTTATCTTCTTATAGAAACTTTACTTATGCAGATCAAGTCTTCCAGATGACATATTCATCATGAGTTTTGGTGCAGGCTGCTTGGTACTCCAACGGAGGAATCATGGCCTGGTGTGAAAAAGCTGCGGGACTGGCATGAGTATCCTCAATGGCAACCTCAAAACCTGTCACGAGCTGTGCCGGATATGGGCCCTGAAGCTCTAGACCTTCTAACTGTAAGCAGTGTTGTGTAAACTTTCCTCTGCAAATGTTCTTGTTTTCGTTGGCGGTTGAGTTGCTTGTGAACATGTTTCTGAGTTCGTTAGACCTAAGTTCCCTTTGGTTTGAAGTTAAGGAATCTTCCATGTGGTTGGGTCCTTGCAGAGAATGTTGATGTTCGATCCTGCAAAGCGTGTCTCAGCCAAGGCAGCCTTGAACCATCCTTTCTTTGATGATCTGGACAAGTCTCAATTTTGATCTGTAGACGCTAGCAACCTTTGGAAACACCTTCCCGTTGGCAGTACAAGCGTAGCCTTATTCAATGCATCGATCCGAGCGGGTACAGGTGTCCTTTGCTATGGTTATCCCCAAAAACATAGGTACATATGTGGCACATGTTGAAATTACCGTTTCCCTTCTCAAAGCGAGGGTGGCATTCACCACGCAATTTGCATGTCTATAAGCAGAGTGTATTCAATCAGTTCTCATCCCAAATTTGATCCTTTATGTGTCCAAGTCTTTTTTTTATAAAAAGACCTGGGGCAAGCGCGGCTGTTCTCAACCGAGCATCTTTGACTGAACCAACTATGATTGGACAAGACGGCAAAGTGTTGAACTTAGACATGTGTACCCTTCCAAAGATTGAGCTGACTCCTTGATTGCTAGTAGGCTCCAAGGTGTGTAGTCAGCCCACTCGAAGCTACATTTCCTGGTTTAGCTCAATATTTATCCCTGAACAGTGAGGCGTGCTGTTGAAACCAAACGCCAGTGCTGTTCTTAGACCCCTGAAAAGGAAAAATGAAAAAAAGTAGCATAGAACATTGTGATAAGTCAATGTGGGTCGTGAGGGGTGCGTTTACCCAAATTATGTTTCCGCCACATAGTAGCCGCTCCTCCAGCGTAGTGGACATTTCTATCTGGCCTGTTGAACTCAAGCAGGAGTCTTTTGGAAGGCAGACTCACTGCCCAACAAGAATGCTACTGACCATGCTATGAGTATGTTAGATTTCTTCCGTTTAATTCCTAGATCCCGAGGTTTACAGGACGAATTAGGAGTTGGATTTTGAGAACCTGGTGTATGGCATTCCTGGTACATTTTCTGGAGTGATCTCATGAGAATGTTGCAAAAGCATCTAATCGATGCTCACAAAAAATTATTAGTATGTTATGGGTTTAAAAGTTGTTTTCGACATAAATTCTGGTGTAGTGGCCATATTGTTTACAATTGCATGTTCGTGTTTCATTCAAAAGACTTCAAGAAGACTTATTAAGACTGTAAGGTGTCAAAATTAAACAATCTTGCCTGTTTCTGCAGCTGACCGTGTCCTCCTCCAGTTGGCATCTCAACTTCATTCTGTGGTTCGTACAAGAGAGGCCCTCGTATCATTCACTAGATGACATGTGCTCGCCTTGTTTATCACCTCTGAAAGGGATTTACGAGGATTGGTAGACAGTGTGAAACATCAGCTGAACGCCATTTAGATAGTTTTTGTCTGCGTAAGAGAATCTGGATCAAATGGCACACAATGTTCTCTGATGAGGAATACTTGGCCAAGAACTATCTAGATAAATTGTAATGGAGGAATTGAGTTGCTTTAGATGTGCTGGTAAATGAAAAATATATGTGCAAGTTTAGTCTGACTGATCAATTTTGCTGGAATACTCTGGCTGCAAAACCTCTGGCAAACTTGTTTAAAACGGCAGTGTGGCAGGCATGCGTTGGAAGCAAGTATCAAACGCGCAGAGACCATGCCTGTCTGGTCCGAATGACGTTTGAATAGGGACCAGTCTAGACTCCAGTCAGGTCAATTTTGAATGCGGTAGTGGACCAAATGGATGGCTTCCATGAGTAACCTTTTGCAATGCCTGCAGCTCTGTATGTACAGGGACACAAGCTTTGCAAAGGAACAGCACAGGGTCTGCAAGGAGCGACAAGAATTGAACACTATGCAAGATCAGCAATCTTCCCCACCAAAAGCATGATTAACTTGCAGAAAATTGCTTGCGAGCACCGTCAAATGCAAGTTTGGCAAATACTCACCTCTCTTCTTCGTAACGGAGCAACCCTGATTCTATCCTGAAATGTTCCATCATACCTAATCATATCTTGAAAAAATGTAACTCAGACTTCAAGGTGATGGTCGAAACAACCCTAAAAGGTGCCATACGGTTTCAAAACTTCATAACTAAAGTCTTGATCTTTAAGTCATTTTGATAAGCACCTTTCTGGGACAAGCTACGTCATGGTGTTCGCCCAATTCAACAGAAATTTAAAAAAGATTCAGATAGCACCTAGAATGTTAAGGAAACTGCAGCATTATCATCTGATAAGATGAGCCACATGTGTAAAGATTTTGAGAGAAATCTGGAGTGGTTGTATGGCAAAGGGATCTTGAAGGGAGGTCCAACAACTTGAAGAATTAGAATTGTAAAGTTTGAGGACTTAAACTTCAATAGAAAACTAGAATGTTGTTGGACGAATTTGTAAGCAATGAAGGACCATGTTTAGTTACATCTTCAAAGATATTTGAGTCAATTGCAAATATAAGTTGTAGAAGAACCCTATATATATATATATATATATATATGTATATATTTAATCCTCTATTATAGTTTAATGAATTTGTTATTCATATTCATTAGACATTGAAAGGTTTGACATCCTCTAAACATCAAAATATTTTCACGTGGAGGTATCTGCTTTTTATGTAATGATACAAAAATGGTAATTTAATTTCTAAAACATCAAAAGTATCTTTAATTTTTTTGATATACATATATATATATATATATATATATATGTATGTATTTATTTATTTATTGTACTACTTATGATGTAGATTTCATGGTAAGGATTAAAACAAAAAAAGTTATTTTTATTTATTTTATTTTTAAATTTTTATTTTAAAGAATAAAAAATAATTTTCATAAAATTTTGTTATAAATTTATGGAAATGAGCTAAAAATATATTTTCTGAATTTTCTTTGATTAATCATGTATAACATAATATCTTCAAATAAATGTATTTGAGTTTTAATAAATATAAACTTAAATCTACAATCATAGTTTAGTTCTAAAGAAGATATTTTATATGCATACTAAATTATTTTTTGAAATAAAATAAAAATAAAATTTTCTTCAAGGATAGTAAAATATATTGAAACATTAAATATGTAGAATAAAAAATATGTAGAAAATAAAAAATTTCTACATAATTGATGTTAATGTTTTTTTTGTATAGAAATTGTGTGGATTTGTGTGTATGTGTATATATATATATATATATATATATATATAAGCATGATTCTAAATTCTATTTAGATATTATACATTTCCATATTAATATGATTATCAAATATAAGAAATATGTACAAAAATAAAATATTTTTTATATCAAATAATATTAATTTTTTAATGATTTTTTTATATATTATCAATATTAAAATAATAAATAAATTTTAAAGCTTTGTGTTAGCATTTCTTATTAGTAAAAAATTTATTACTTAAAATTTGTAATTTTTTTAGCATAATCTGTAATATTAATGCCATTATATTTATTTTTATACTTATAAAATTTCTTTCATATATTCACAATAATTTAGTCTTGAAACATAATATAAGATTGTAATTTCGTTTATATCTATATATATATATATATATATATCATTAGTTAGTTGTTATGATTTATTATTTTTGTTTAATTTTAGAACTTTAAAAATTCAAAATAAAATTAATTGAGTATCATCATGTTAAAAATTATTTTATTTAAATTTTATTTTATTAAGTAAATATATAAATAAATAAATTATATATTTTTTATATTTATTTTTAATAGTATATTTTTGAAATTGATTCTATATATATATATATTTTTAATCCATATCAATAAAAAAAATAAAATTTTAAGATTTACTATATAATAGTGATTTTTTAAAATTTTACTATTTTGCATGAAAATAAAAAGAATCAAAGATAAGATTAAAGAAGAATGAGATATAAACTTGAAAGTAAGACAGTTCTATCAAAGAGACAAGGAAGATCTTTTGATAATCACTTTTCTTAGGAATTATTTTCTTGTCTTTTAATAATCACTTTTCAGTATACATCAATCTTAAGGTTAAATTAATCAGATTTGAATAAGATTCTATATTATACTATTAGAAAATTAGGATTGATTTTTAACTTGTGTTATAAATACTTGTAGTACTTAAGTAATAGAAACTTAGAATTTATAATATAGATGATATCTTTTTAAATGATCAAATATAAATTAAAGAAATTTTTTTTCTTAAATGTGAATAAAATCTAGATGTATGTAATGTAGCTATATATATATATATATATATATATATTAGACATTTTTTGTTCCTAAAATACTATTATAGAAGTATCCTACAACTTCAAAATTTGACATATAAACCTTGTTGTCTTTAAGAATTTTTCACATGATATTCTTATCAACTAATATTTGTAGAAACAAGAAGAATGCAATAATTGGTCTTAATAATATATTTTTTATATTCTAGTCTTAATTTAATATTCTTAAAGATAGTAGTTTGCTACAAACTTTGTTGAAGGATTTACAGATAAAAATGAGGAATGTTGGCTGGCCATTAAGTAGGATGTACTTATCATTGAAATAGTGACATTGCCCCAGATGGATGGAGACCAAGAGTTGATGGTGAAAGTAGACCAAGCCTTTGTAGACCAATTCTATACTTTTATAAAAAACAACATTGAAGTAGAGAAGACTCTTATTTAAATAAAAGTAGAGAAATTCAAGAATGCTACCTAATTCTTATGAAAATAAGAGCAATTTAGGAAGATGAACTTGGAGATGGATAAAGATTCTTAATACTTGAAGATCAATGCTAAAATTAATAAAGAGTTGACAAAGGAAGTATAACTATTCTTTTGGGAGTATAAAGATGTATTTGCATATATATATATATATATATAGATGTTAAGGAGATTCTCTCTATAGTTGCATAACATTGGATCGAGTTCGAGAAAGATATAATACTAACACATCAGACCTAATATTTGATAAATCCAAATTATGCCAATATTGTGAAGTATGACTTGGAAAAACAATTACAAGTCAAGTTCATAATATTAGTAGAAGATGCCACTTGGCTCTCACCTATTGTCATAGTATCTTAAAAAAATAAAAAATAGCATATTTTCATTAATTTTCAATTATTAAATGTTGCTACAAAAAAACCCTATATTTATTGCCATTTATAAAAAAACATATTAGATATAATGATAGAGCATGAGATATATTCTTTCTACAACATGTATTTTGAATATTACCAAATCTATATTGTACTAAAAGATTGATACAAGATTGATTTTGTAGTAGGCTAGGATACATTTGTTTAGGTAGTCATGTCATTTGGACTAAAGAATATTCTATCAACCTACCAAAGAGCAACTATTTAGAATTTTTGTGATTTTATTGGTAATTTAATGAAACTATTCTAAAATTATTTTAATATCTATAGTGATATAGTTATAATTTGAAAAGTATCAAGAGCATGATAAAAGCCTAAATTAAAAAAATATTTATTATTGATTTATTTAATTATGATATTAGGCCATGTGGTATCTAAAGAGGATAAGTTTTTGATCCAAAAAAGATCAAGGTAATAGAAAAAATGCCTAAGCCTAAAAAGTTAAATGATGTTTAAATGTATAATATGTTTTCCTAATTTAATAAGTGCTACATCTAATTTAATGCAAATGGTATAGAATTAATCACCATCTTAATGAAGAAGGCTAAAAAATTCACTTGATTAAAGAAATGTGCAATAGCTTGAAAGGAGATTAAAGAGCAATATCATAATGCTTTCATTTTTATTTCTTGTAGGAGAGACATGAAATTCTACATACATACTAATACTTCAAATATAGTATTAGAGCTTACTCTGGCTCAAAATCTAAGAAAGAAATGTGACCAATCAATTTCTTATGCCTCCATTCTTTTGAATTCTATGAAAAAAATTATACTACTAAAAAACTCTTATAATGATGAATGCTTTGAATAAATATAGATATTATTTATTGAGTATTAAGTTTGTTTTTTATATTGATCACATAGCATAAGTCTATTTAATCAATAAATTCCAAATGTCTAGTTGGATTTTTAGATATTTAATATTGCTCTAAGAGTATGACTTTTGTTGTTGGACT